TTTTTACAAAAAAAGTGCTTTAAAATGCCTTTCGATAAAATGATGTATAATTGATGTCATCATTTTTTGTTTTGTTTTGAATTTGCCGCGGCCCCATTTAAGCGAAAATTTAGATGGAAATAATGATTTTTGACTTTCATCCATTGCTTGTGCGGCTCATGAAGTTTGCATGGAATCGAATGGAGATCACTAATAGTGTTGACATCATTCAATAAATCCATAATGTCAGGTCGCTTATTGCTATTTTTCATATGTATTATAGAGTGACATTGCCGAAGAAACCTTATCCAAGCTAACCCGATCTACTCTGAGTGCAAACAAAACCTTTTTCACCACGATTCTGCCTGAAAAAACAACCACCTTGATTGATGCCAGTGACTGGAATAAACTCAAACCGAATCGATTACGACGGAATAAACTTTGCAAGGGATGGACTGACATTTTGTACAATTACCTGAAGAAGTCAAACCCATATTGTCCACTTGTCTTTAAATGGCACAAAGCCAAATGTTTCTCTGGGAGAAAAAATACAGCCAAATTCTGTTTTATTGCAAAGGGTTCTTGCTCATCYAAACACTGTCCACTGAAATTTAAAATATATATGCTTTCGAGTGAGGAGAACAAGCGAATTCTTCATRTCCATTACATGGGGAACGTCCTGCACGACATGAGTGAAAGACGGGCTCGGCCAATTGCAGGAGAACTGAGAACACAAGTTGTAGATGATTTCAAATATTCAGGGAAGAAACCTTCAACATATTTCAATGAAAAAATCAACAATCTCGATGAGCGTTTGTTTAGCGCTGGCAACTGGACGGGAGTTGGTTCAAGCCCCAAAGTCGTACAGCAAATTGCAAGCGAGGCAAGACGTTCTCTGCGACTGGATGATAATCCWATAACCTCATTGGAAATGATGAAAACGCAGTTYGTAGATGAGGCGTCCAAAACTACTAAAATCAAAGGCTACATTCAATACATAGCCGCGAGCCCTTTAGTTGTTCACCTTTGGACAGAAGGTCAAGTTCGTCTTTGGCATGACATTTGCAGGAATGACGTGGCCTTTTTGGATGCCACTGGGACTATCATTGCCGACTGGGGGGAGAACCGTGTTTTGTACTATGCGTTGGTYGTTCCTAATCCTGTGTCSGGAAAGCCACCTTTACCTGTTGCCGAACTAATAACCAKCCGCCATAATGTTCCTACGATCCAACATTTTTTACATTGCTTTAGATACGCCGAGGGACTGCTGTTTGGTCACAACAAAGTAAGAATGCCAYGCCAAATTGTTAGCGACCAAGGAAAAGCAATACTGATGGCCTGTCTCCAAGAATGTAATAAAGAAACGATGGGAGCCTTCCTAGACCGTGTTTGGAAGACTGTCCATCTAAAATCCAAAGACAACGAGCCGGATCTGATGACACCACACGTGTGCTGTAGCCATTTCATGAAGAAAGCAAGCGAGGTTTGTAAAAGAATTTGCAAAGACAATGGCGATCGATGGTTTTCTTTTATGATGTAYTCGGCTTCTCWTCTTGTGAATTCTCGCACGTTTGAAGAATTCAAAGAAATTCTAGTCGATACATCCCTTCTACTCTTTACTCCAAAGATGTGTTCAGAAGTTAAAAATGCATACACACGAGTA